ACAAGGAGTCCTCTGCGAGGAGCCAGGTGGGGAGCGTAAACCTGGGGCTTTGCAATAACCACACACGCGGCACACAGCACGGCCACCAACTCAAACACAGGGTCACACACAGGGAGCTTCCCTTGCGGTTGGACATTCATGGACTGATAGCCATAGGCACATACGTGTGCAAATGACACTCTGGGGCACACACAGAAATGCCCCCCACTAGCCAGCTCCTGCATGCAGCACACAGACCACACCCAGCCACGCCCACAGGGAATGCCTTGAGCTGTACCACACACACAGGCACAAGCACCCTCCGGGCAGCCTTGGAGATGAAGACGAGTACCTGGAAGGGCCTTGTAGGCCTGCCTAGGATCCAACCATCCCCCTGGGGCACAACGGCTAGCAAGAGAAGCAGGGGATGGCAAGGGCAGGCCAAGATGTCCCCCCGCCAGGAGGTCCAGGGCAAATCCAGAGTAGCCAGGGAAGGGAGAGCTGGACAAGTACCTCACTGGATGTCCACTTTCCTACAGGGTCCTGAGGGGGCTGAGGTTGGGGTCACACGTGACAGTCACAGGCCTGGGGCATGAAAGGAGGGAGGGCTCAAATTTCTGCCTCTGGGAGCAGCCAACACACGACCTCCACAGGCTCTAGGCCCACTGGGCAGAAAAAAGGAAGGCTGAACACTTTAAGCACAACCACAAAGCAAAGGATAGATCTGAGGTGGGGGTAGAAAGTCTCCAGCTCCAGTCCTGGGAGTGCCTGTCAGGCTGTGCAGCCATGGGAAACCGCGCTCTAGTCTGCTGCACTGGAAAGCACACAGACCAGGCCAAGGCAGCGAGTCCACCAGCACAGCCCCAGTCAGCAGATACCCCTTCAGCCTCTGTCTTGACAACCAAGGCCCCTAAACTGTCTTCAGGTCAGCCACTGGAAGACCCCAAGACAATCCTTCCCCTCTGCCCACCCCCAGGCCCCACAGTGCACACCACACAGACATCTGATCCAACCTTGGGGCAGGTATGGCTGCTCTACCACACTTATTTACCCAACGCAGCCATAGATATGATCTAAAGCTTCCGGTCTGTTGTGAAAACAGCAGCTCAGCCACCACAAACCTGCCCTCCTGGCACCCGGCAGGGAGGGACCTTCGAGGGACAGTATCCCAGCCTGTGTCCAGGGCCCTTCAACTTCCCCACTGAGGCTTGCTGAGACCACCCCTCCCCAACCCCCTTTCAGCCAGATGCTCTGGCACCCCACCGTGTGACCTCACCTGCCTCCTCAGCCCCGCCACGTGAACCACGTGAAATGGCTCAGAAACGCTCAGATCTGCCCACAGCGGCTGCTGCTGTTCCCCTCCAAGCGCTCCTCGTCTGCTGGCAGTGCCCACGCTCACGCAGTTGCCAGGACTGACACCTGGGGCCGGTTTGCCTCTGCCCTACCGCCCCTCAACTACCGCCTCCGCCTCAATTCCTGGGACCTCTCTCCCTCCCATCTCTGCCCCTTCAAGCCCCACCACCACCCCCAGGCCTGGCACCTGCCTGCCCACAGCTCTCCCTTCTCTCTTCTGGCCCCCGTGGTCCCCCTGTACTCTCACCCCTGCCGGAGCCCCTAGTGTTTCCTGTGACCCCTTCTGTCAGCCTAGACCTTTCAGCCTGCCCGTTCCACCCATCCTACCACCTTTCCTCCCTGACCTCCTCAGGAGCTGTCCTCTCCCGGCTCTGATGCCAAAGCCACAATCACTTCTTTCGTTTCCCCAAACAGCCAAGTCCCTGCCACCGAGGACCCTCCATGCTTGTTGTCCCTCCCTAATCCCCACAGTGTCGTCTTCCTACATTCAGGTCCTACAAGGACACTGCCCAATCAACCCATTTTACAAATGAGGCACTGGAGACTCACTGCCATCAATCCCTGCCTCAGAGGTACATGGCCAGCGAATATCAAACCAGGGTCTGTCTGACGCCTGCAGAGATCCTTGTGTGCTCCCAAGCCCTCAGAATGTTCTCACGTACACTCCCAGCCCAGGCGCTGGTCCCTGCTGATCTCCAGCACTCAGCCTCCTGAGCTCTGTTTGGTACGCCACCATCAGCACTACGCTTCAGCACCACCTCCTCAGCTTCCTGATCCCCAACAGTGAAGACCACAGCTCAGCCCACTCCTCACTGCTGACCTGTGTGTTCCTGGGATAGGCAGGCCCCCGCCACCAGCTGCCACAGGATGTGGATGTGGGCACACTGTACTCCCAGAGGGGTTTCTAGCTCCCCTTCTCCTGCAGCCCCAGATGTCTGCCCTCTTCCCTAGCCCAGAGGCTAACCCCAGAGGTCCATAGGGTGTGTGGGCTGGCAGGAGAGCTCACTGCCCAGCCAAGTGTCCAAGCCCAAAGTCCTGCAGGAGATCAGAGCTGGAGAGGGACAAAAGGATCCCTGAGGGGCAGCAGGCAACTGCAAACTGCCTTTCCCTTTCCTGTATCCATTTGTCATGAGATCTATTTTTTCTTTGAAAGAGTGTGGAGGGAGATGAAGAGGAGGGAGCCGGGTGCCCGAGGGGCCACAGCGGCTCCACCTGGAGCTCCTTTTTCAGAGGCCATGGGACCCACTGAGCCAAGCAGCTGTCCCTGTGTCCGGCATTGGTGCTGGAGGCAGAACTGAGAGGAAATGAGAGCCAGAGGACCCTGACGTCAGGCCAGTCCCCAGCCCATCAGATAATGACGGCCCGTTATCAGTACCACTCGCTGGTTTTTGAATAGTTACTATGAAACAGCCGCTACTGCCTCATATGACTATGGTTTCTACTCACTAAAAACTGACAGTGAGCCAAGCACAGTGCTAGCTACTTTACATACATTATCTGTTCTTTCCTGAGTAACTTCAAAAAGGTGAACATTATCATCACCTCATTTGTCAGAGAATGAAACTGAGGCCTGCCTAATGCCTGAGACACTGCCCCACCATTCTCAGCTCCCAAAGGCAGTGCCTACCACAGCTAATGCCTGAACCTCAGCTTACAGGATCAGAGCAACAGAGGAGGAGGGGCTGTAGAGGCTTCGGGCGACTCCATGCCTCCGCTTTCCATCCTTCCAGAGTCCCTGGCAAGGCGGGCAGCCCTGACAGTGCAAGCCTGGTCGTTTAGCCTAATTCACCAGCCAGTTGCTGCTCCTCTCAGTAGGTAGGACAGGGCTGGGACAAGCCACAGCTGGATGGCTTGGTCAGTCCCACTGTGAAACCACTTCCTGGGCAGCCCAGAGGAAGTGAGCCTCCGGAAACGCCTTGGACATACAGGCCTGTCCCCTGGGCTCCAGCCCTGAAAAGTGGGCCCCAGGAGTATACCCTACGTGCCCCCAACCCCCAGAAGCCAGCAACTCCACTTTCTCCAGGCATGAATGCTGTGGGGCACAGAGGGGCTGTCTAACCCCCACTAGCTCTTGCACACCCTGGCCCCATGACCCAACTCCTACTTCCTCCTCTGTGGCAGCAGCCACAAACGGCACCAAACAGCTGAAGGCACCTCCTCCACACCCATGCTCCCCATTTCCAAAAGCCGTGGTCAGCCTGGACGCCTGGGCCAGGTGGGTGGAAAGCTACTGGACATCTGGCCAGAGCCCACGTTTCAGTGTGGCCTAAGCCCTTCCAGCCCCTGTGGTCACAGCAGCACTTGAACGTGCCAGACTCGGGCTGCTGGACAGGGCTGTGACTCTGAGCAGGGCTCCGTTCCTAACACAGCATGGGCACCATGTGGCAAATGTGGGTGGCCTCTGAGTGCATGGAGACAGAGGTGAGCGTCTGCGTTGTTGGGGGTGCGTGCGAACACCCATGTGCTTGTGGGACCACATGTGCGGCGTGTGTGCCGGCACTGGGCATCGACTGCGTGGGTGCTGTGCGCAGCCCGGCTTTCTGTGTGCCTGCTGAACATGTGCATGTCCAGGCCAGCCAGGTTGGTGGGACTTGAGACTTTAAAGTGGAAGGACTCTTTGGACAACCAGGAGACTGGCTCCCCTGACCTCAGGCAACAGAAGCCCCAAGCCAAGAGCATCTCACCTCCACGCACGAGGTCCAGGGGTAAGATGGACAAAAAGAAGACCCTGTCCTTGTTCTGCAGAAAGCCAGTAGGGCTGGAATGAGGGCAGCAATCAGGGATAACTCCCAGAAGAAGGGCGCCCTTGCCATCCCCTGCCCCGGTCATCTCCCAGGTTCTAGGTGGCCACAGCTCACGCACATACCCAGAACCTGGCTCACTGGGACTCTAAACACTCAACAAGCAACTCAGGTCTTCATTCCCCTCTTTTATCCTTCCAGACCATCCCTCTTCCTCTCCCCCTCTTCTCCCTCTCCCAATCTTCCTCTTTCTTTCCCTCTTCCTCTGACTAGAGATGGACTCCAGGCTTTACTTAAGCTAAGCATATGCTTACCACTGGGCTACACCTACAGCCCACAGGGCCATTTTCATGACATCGAGGTGGAGAAAAAGCTGGCCCCAAAAAGAAGGGCTGCTGACCTCAGAGATTGTGGTTTTCCCTACATTCCTAGGAAACACTGCCTGACTCACTCCTAGATCTGTAGCAAAGGGGCTGGACAAGAACTGCGGTATGCAAGAGGCCTCAGATGTGCTGGGAGACCCTGTTCTATCCCAACCCACTGTGAGGCCCAGATGCACCTTAGTTTCCTTCTGTGATGATGAGGGCAGTTAGAGGGTGACACATCTACCCCCAACCCTTGGCTCACAGGCCACTTTCTCTCCAACTGGCCTAAATGGTGTCACCACTCTTTCCCCCAAACTATGAGTGGCTCCCAGCCCCCTGAGCTTCAAGATCAAAGCCTTCCCAAAAAAACAGTCGGGTTGCAGACACAGCACTACGCTGGCAGAGCTAATGGCTGCCTCCTCAGAGGCCTGAGTGCTAAGTGCCAGATCAAGCACTCTGCGTGCTCCCCCAAGCCCATGAAATCCCACAGGGGAAGGGGCAGCGTCTAAGCAGGAAGGCCACTCAGCACACTACCCATCTGCCCAAGAGCTTCCAGTCCTACCTGGGGCTCCCAGCTCCCACGTGTCCTTGGTCCCAGCTCCTCCTGCTCCTGCTGCTCCTGCTACTCAGCACCACCAGGAGAAGTAGGGCTGCCGCCCCCGCCTGGGCTGATTCCCAGCAGACCTGCAGGAACAGGAGAAAACAGCTGAGCAGGGAGGCACAGCCAACTAAACAGGCTCTCACCTCCGCATGGCAGACAGGCCCAGCCAGCTCTCAGACTGTGGGCCTCTCTGGCCTTGGCTTTCTCTTCTGTGAAATGGGGGTTAGGCTCAAAATTTCTAGGTGTCTGCTCCAAATTAGGGGCTGGAATACTGTGTTTCTGTCCTTGGAACACTTCCAATATGAGAGGTAGCCAGCAGACACAGCAAAAAGCTGTACCTAACCCTCCCAAAGCAGAGGTTGTCCTACAGGTTTTAGAATCCTAAGGTGTAATCAGGTACCAGCACTTTACGGCCTGGGGCGAGTCCTCTGTGCCAGTTTTTTAAAGTGGCAGGGAAATACTAGTGCCCTTCTCCCCAGGTGACTCTCAGGCTCCAAGAAGTGCTGTGTCAGCTCCCCAGCGGACTCACGTTGGAAGAAACGAATGAACTCTGACGCCTTTTCATTCTTTTTTACCTTACAGTTCACATGATTCTCACATTACTGTTGTGCCCATTATTCAGCTAAAACAAAGCAAAACAAAAACACAAAACAAAACAAAAAAAAAATAAAAAACACCACTGAGGCCTAGAAGGGAGGAATGGCAGAGGGGGTACCCAAGGTACCCTGGGTCTCTCGACTGCAAGGCCAGGCCTCCGCAAGATTCCCCTTCCCAGCTGCGATCCCCTCCTTAGCTGGACACCCCCATCATTAGCTGCCCCCTCCCTGGGGGCAAAGGCATCCTCAGGCTTTATCTTTTTATCAGTACTTTAAATTATTTCTAGTTTTAATTTAAACTTTAATTAGCTGTTCTGCTAAATGGTGTTAGTGCTCTGTAGGCACTGCTCAGAATTACCCCCCATGTCCCTGCCACAGAGACAGTGGGCTGGTAGTTGGGGTGGGGGATTCTCAATTGGGCAGAACATGGCTGGACCCTGGGGGCTCAGTGAACACCTCCTTCCACTAAGCAGCTTTGCTGCGGGGATGCAAAGGGGCGACAGATCTCACTGTAGACAGGAAATGGGATTGGGGCCATGTGAGCTTTCATTAGCTTCAGTTCCTAGGTGAATGGGGACCACAAATGGGGGGGGGTGTCACCAAGTAAGGCTTGGCATGTTCTTCCATCCCAGTATGTGCTAAGGTTGTGCTGATGGGCCCCTGAAGGGCCTTCAGTCCTTACCACTTTCTACATTTGCAGCCAAGAAAACAGTCCCGGAAAGGCCTGGCATGGGTCTCCTGCTGACAACTATTGGAGGTTTTGGTCATTACACTAAAAAGACTATGCCAGGTGTGGTGGTGCACACCTATACTCCCAGCACTTGGGAAGCTGAGGCAGGAGGATCAGCATGAGTTCGAGGCCAAGGCAGGAGGATCAGTGTGAGTTCGAGGCCAGCCTGGGCCACTTGGTGCATCCAAGTCCAGCCTGAACTACATAGTAAGACCCTAACTCAAAACACCAAAACTTCTTTTAAAACTTTGAATAACATTAAAAAGCCCAAGACCTGACTCTAGCTTTCCTGTGTCTCCAGGAGTCTTATCAGGCCTTGCATAGGCAGAGTGCATAACCACAACCTCTCAATCTCCCACACACGTGCACATACCAGGGCTCTCACCATCCTTCCTGGTACTATGTTACACCCTCTCCCCCACCACTAACACCCACACCTAGCCATTCTTGGTTCCCCACAATCACAGTCACTCCCCACAAACATACACACTTGCAGTTTCATTCAGTTCCACTGTTGAGTCTCCTACCAATCACTCACTCCCACACTACTGTCACCTCTAGCATAGTTAGTTCCACCACACGCTGGAGTCCTCACAGCTTTCTACAGCTGGGAATAGTCACCCAGATATCTCTATCTCTATCTCTATCTCTATCTCTATCTGTCTGTCTGTCTGTCTGTCTCTCTGTGGCATCTGTGCGCGCCTGCGTGCACACACACACACACACACACACACACACACACACACTGGCCTGTGCCACAAAGCTGCCCTCTGCTGGCCTGTCCACCACACCTCAGCCCAGTCCAAAGCAGGAATGAGGAAACTCAAGAGATCAGTCCCCCCCTCCTGGACCAAGACAGCTTGGTCACAGAAGCAGTGGCAGAGGGAGAGGAAGAAACAAATTTGAGTTCTCCACACCCCCTTCTCTCTCTCTCTCTGACACACCTACACACACAGTTCTACAAAGACACCCAATCGGCCTAGTGGGCTGGCAATCCAACAACACAGGTTCCTACAATTAAAAGATCTAACGTATTCATGGCCAGTTGGTCACCACGCTACATCTAGAATGCAACACAGACTTCTCCAAATACAACACGGGTAGTCTGGAGACAACACACGAAGACAGTACACACAGCTGCAAAGGACACACACCGAATCTCAAGACAGGAAAGACATAGGCAAATCGCAGATGTGAGAACACACGAAAGACACAGGCAAGTTCCACAGTGAAAACACAAGGGACAAAGACACACAACATCTCCACAGCACCAGGAGAGAGGATCTATGCGGATACGAAAGGGTCAGGGCAGAGGACCCTCCCTACTCACAATAAGTCCTCAGGACCAAGTTCACTCCGGGCGCTCAGTGGGGCCCTACCCTCACCTACGGAGTAGGAACTGGGGAGGTAGAGACGGAGTGATGGGTGTTTCCCTCCTCTCGCTCCACCGCAGGCCAGCAGGGCGCCCCACCTCCGCCCCCTCCTCTCACTTGGGCCCCCAGGAGGATGACGGGGGTGGGGGAGGGCGTACTGAGACTGCCAGCAAACTAAAGCCTTCGGGGAGGGGGATCGGAGGGGCGGGGCGGGAAGGGGGATGGTAGAGCCTGGAGCCACGCCCAGCCCGGAGACTGAAGCAAGACCCGGAGACTGAAAGAAGAGCTCGAGCAAGGAGGCGCTGCGAGCGGTGGCCCGGCTGGGACCCGGGGACTGGAGACACGGCCGAGGCCAGGTGGCAGAAAGGAGCGGTGGGGCGAGCGGAGCCTGGGACCAAAGCTGGCTCGGGAAGCTGGACCGAGGGGGCGGCAGGGGTGGAGCGAACTTTGGAGGGCGGGGGCAGACAGCAGCCGGGAAGGGACAGCCATAGACTCCGGGGGGCGGGCGGGGAGCTCATGGGACGCTCCGGGGGAATTCGGGGCGCTCGGAGCAGCGGGCGTGGACGGACGGCGTGCCTTCGGCCCCCGCCGCCCAACCGGGGGACAGCGCAGTGGGACTTTGCCGGCCGCTGCTCAGTTTCTAAAAAGGGAACCAAAGCAGGGAAGGGGAGGGAGGGGCGCGGCGCCCTCGACGCAGCCCAGATCCCGCGCCCGGCTCACTCACCTCCCGGCCGGGGCCGGGCGCCCAGGGGTCGCGACGGCCGGCGTCTGGCTCCCCGCGCAGGTCCCCTCGCGCGCGGGCTCGGTGTGGGCCTGCCCAGGACGAGCCCCGCGGCCGGGACGTACGGCCCGGGTCTCGGTGCAGGGGCAGATCCCAGGGGTCCGCGAGGGATCCGGACCGCCGCCTCCCGCTCCCGCGCCGCTGCACACGGAAGTGCGAGGGGGCGGGGCTGCGCGGCCTCACCCAGGTGCCAGCCGGCCCCGCCCCCGGGGCGTCCCGCCCCGAGCCCCAAGCCCCGCCCCGCGGCTGATGGGGAGGGCCTAGAGTCTGGGTTGCGCTCGGCACGGGTCACTAGGTCGCTTCTCTGCTCGGCGCTGCCTGGAACTCTGCGAACACCCGAAAGGAGCGCAAACCAGCCTCGACAGGAACCCTATTTTACTGAGGACTCTTGAGTTGGTGGGGGAGTGCGGCGGGGGTAGGGTGAGAGGCTGCGCCCCCACCCTAGCGCCCAGGAGGCGTCCATGGGGGTTCCCCGGCTCCCTACGCCCACGCCCGGGACTCCCCACCGGCTAGTTGGCTGACTAGCGCGGTCTCACTCCCTCGCTTCCTGTTGGCTGGAGCGCGGACTGGGCCAGGCTCATTGCCTGCTACCAGTCTTGCCTGTCCCTGCCCTGCCCAGAGACACAGCTGGTCCGATTCCGGGGCTGGAAGCTCTAGTTGGGCTGCTGCTACACTGCTGCTTGAGCAGTTCTGGGAGCTGCTCCGACCCCATCTCCCACTCTTCCCCGACCTCCCAGAATGCCCACCGACCAGGAAAGGCCTGAACTTTCCAGACCAGAAGCTTGGTTTTCAGCTGCAACTCATTCATTCTGAAGCGAGTGTCCCCCGGCTCCAAACCCCGAGCACCAACTGGTGCCCAAGTAATATATTTCCCTGGCCCCCAAGCTCAGAAAGTCAGGCCCTTATACCTACCCAAAGGAGTTCTAAGTCCCAGGCGTCATGGAGAGCTCACCCAGCTGAGGCCTAAGGGATGGAAATGGGGCAGAGCTGAGCCAAGAGCTTGTGGCTGAGACAGGCCGTAGTCAGGTCTTTTGTCTTCTCAAGCCACAGGCGGTGGAAAGATAGGAAGGCTGCAGAGAAAGGGAGTGCTCTGGTGGCCTACACCCTGGAAGGAAGGAACTGCCAGTCTGAAGATGGGTGTCTAGGTTCCCAACCATGACTACCACCCCATTCGCATGGGCTTTGCCACCGAGCGCTACTCCTCTGGCTGCACTGGACTACCATTTGGAAACACACCTTTCTCCTCACTGGCCTTTGGCCATGCTATCTCCTGGGCCATTTCCTACCCACCTCAATATCTCTCTCTTGGTTGTATCCACTTAAATGCCACTGCTCGCTGATGCGCAGGGCTAATCCTTGGCATTTCTCTGAGCTAAGAGACCAGATTCATTAGCATCGCTGGGTTTGGTTTGGAGTGAAGGATGGTCAAGATGAGCTTCAGGTGACCTCTACATACTAGGAATCAGGTCTCTTTTCTGGCTCCCCTTCCAGGTCTTCAGTAGGCAACTGTCTCTCCTTCCACAACAATAGGTCTCGCCTGTGCCAGGGACCATGGAGGGAGGGCTGGCCACTTGGCAGTTATAGATCCAACTCACAGACCTTTGTTCCCAGGTGCTGCCTTCCACTTTGGAAAAGAAGATTAATGGCTGCCATTGCCAGGGGCTTCCCTGTGCCAGACTCTGTCCTAGGTGCTGGATGTATGCAGGCTGTATGGTTCTCAAGCCCCTAAGAGGTAATGGATGTTATCAGCGCCAGTGTGTGTGTGTGTGTGTGTGTGTGTGTGTGTGTGTGTGTGTGTTGGTGATGAGTAAGCTGAGACTAAGAAAAGTGAAGGCACTTGCCTAAGAGTACACAGCTAGCAAACGACGGAGGGACAAACTAAGGTCTGTCAGGCCCCTAAACCCATGCACCAGGGGTTCTCAGTCTCAGCACAGCTGGTCTTTGAGGCAGATAATTCTTTGTTGTGGGGGCTGCTCTGTGTACTCACTGCGCAATGTTTAGCAGCATCTGTCTACGAGAATTCAGCAGCAATCCCCCCTGCCCTTTGCAATTTAAGACAGAGAAAAATATCTTTAAACATTGGCAAATGTTTTGCAAAGAAGAAAATTACCCCTTGAAAAACCACTGCTTTAGAGTGGGTAAGTATTGTAGGAACAAGAGGGTTACTCAGCAGGAAATATTGTCCTGGTCTTTGGGATTGCATGAACTCATGAGGTCAGACCACACACTGGTCCCAGCCATTCCCTCTCCTCTGGACACTCTAAGGAAGCAAAAATGTCCTCAGAGAGGCAGAGGGGCTAAGGCTGTCCTGGCTCTGGGAAGGGCAGAAGAGGGAAGTGGGTGGGTTTTCCTCCAGAGATACACCCCAGGTCCCAGGGCTTCTGAGGGAACAGGTTTGGGTGGGGTTCAGGGAATCCAAGCCTAGCTTGGCTGGAACTGCTATATCTTGGAGCTGTCTCTCTGCCTGTCATGTTTTGGGGTTTTTGCGAGGTGAACAATATAGTACAAGACACATTTTACATAGTACAGGATGCCCAAGAGTAGCATACTACAAGTGCAGGAAACCTATCCACACACTAAATATTAACGAATCCAGCTGAAGGCCTAGAGTTCATAGCAGTGCCTCCCACCAGTCCAACTGGAAGCCCACAACAAAGTCTCATGCAGGCCCACTTCATGGATATGTGTTGGAAAGACCCAAAGATCAGTGGTGGAAGCTAGGAAGTCTATGCCAGCAGAGTGAAGGATCTGTGCTAGCAGGCTGAGGAATCTGAACTGGAGCTAGGAAACAACGCTCAAGGTAAGCACCAGAGTTCCCCCAAAACTACCACAGCCGTCTTCAGCAACAGTGAGGTCCTGAGCTCCTGCAGTGATGAGGAAAGCTGAGTTCCTATCAGGAAAGCCAATGCAGCAAGGTTCATGAGGCTGAGCAGTGCACCATCTTCCCCTCCGGAGCCAGGAAGTGATGCTCAGGATGAGGACCCAGAGCTTCTCCACAGTTCATCAGGAAAGCCAGCACAACAAGGGCCTCCACAAGAACAGCCCAAGAGAACTAGCAGCTTCCAACAGCTTCTCCAAACAGCATCCCTAACAGCGTCTCAGCAGCTTCTCCTCTTCTGCCTTTATGCTGCTGGCAACAGCCCTCAGGGGGGCCTCCCGCACCCAGCACCACCCTAGTTTAATTCAGCTGGATGTAAGAAGTCGACCACCAGTTAGCTAACCACCACAGTGCCCCTAAAACCAACCTAATCAAGGGCCTGCTGAAGCCAAGAAGAAAACTTTGCCTGTGTCACATGCTAATTGTATGGCCCTCAGCAAGTGACCACACCTCTTCCAGCCTGGGTGCTCACCTAGGAGGAAAGAAGATGATGATATATACAGAGTCTTAGCCAGAGGGGACACGCGTGTGTGCTTGCACACATTGGCCGTGGCTCTGGGTGTAGGCATTGTGCCAGGTCCTAAGCTGTCAGCCTTGAAAAAAGCCCTTGAAGTAGCACTTCCCACAAGTGCTACTTTCTTTTCCTCATGGTCCAGGTTCACAGTCAGGAAAAAAGGTGGTAGAAATGGGCAGCATCCACCTAAGGCTTCTCCTCTGTATGTTCCCTGGAGGATTTGTCCAGAGGAGAATAAGTTGACCCTTGCCCTCCTTGTCCCCACCAAAAGCCACAAACATGATACAGCCCCCAGAATGCTCCTGGAAATCCAGAACTCAACAGCAACGAGAAAAAGGCCTAGGCCACTGTCTGCCCGAGAGGCCCACCAAGCTGGAGGCGGGTCTCACATTTGATTCTGCCAACAGTTGGTTCTTGTCCTGGCCTCTTGCTGTGTCTCTGTTTCTGCCTGTCACCATTTTGTTTTTTGTTTTTGTAAGTGGCAAAGGTTTCATTGGCTCACAGCTGTCACTGTTCGCATCTGCTTCAGAACTTTGGTACCAGGATCAGCTCCATCACCCAGAGCCCTGGCCTGGTCATGGGAGAGTGGGCTCTTGTTTCTGGCATAGGTGATGCAGGTCAGCAGGACTGGTGTACCTGGGCAGCTGCTGGGACAGCAGAGCCTGGCAGATTTTGCTGGGGGTAGTGGTAGTATGGGAGAAACAGCACTTGGGGCAGGCCCGTGCCATAGCCGGGAGGGGCAGGCAAGGACAGGATCAAAAAAAAGTGGCCTTGCAGGCAGTGCCACTTGGCAGGACAGTGCCAGGCTATGGGGCCAAAGGGGCCAGGTTACTGCCTGGCTCTGCCTGACACATGACTTTACTGTGCTTGGGCTTCCTCTTCCATGAAACAGAGCTGTAACTAAAAGCCACCTGTTCGTTGACAGGACAGGAAGCACTGACTGAGAAACTCTGTGTTGGTGCCATGTGACAAACATGAAGTTGGCCAGACTACTTCTCTCCAGATTCCTCCTCAACAAATGAGTTTTAGGGTAATTAAAACAACAACAACAACAACAACTAGGAATCAACTCAGGACCTTGCACTTGCTAGCCAGTGGCTTAAGCTGCTAAGCTACCTCCCTTAGGCCTTTGAGGTAAAATCTGACAAATACCTATAGAGAGAAGGGAGGTTCTTCCAGGGGAGTGAGCAGGAGGCCCACCTTTCCTGGGGGCCTCATAGGTGGCAGGCATGTAGCCCTAAACTGCCTTAGCCCTGCACAGCACGTAGCAGCCTGAGTCTCCTTTAAAGTTTCTTCTGTCTGCATCTCTAGAAGGGTCAGTACCCCCTGTGCTGTACACCCTCTCCTTGCTCTGCTCCTGCGCATCTGCAGCCTCCAAGCAGCATGGCACAAAAACCTTCTGTATTGGTGGATATATTGTGTCAACTTTAGAAGTTTAAAAGTTTAATTAAGCGACTCAGCAAAGGGCAAGGATTTTTAGTTTGTAAACATCTTTATCTTGTGTAAGAGGAGGGCATGGACTTTGGTGAGTTTTATGCCCCCATCCCCAGAGTAGCCTGCTTATAATATAAGGAGGAGAGAGAGAGGCTGGATAAAATCTGTAGCTGTTGTCTTTATTGTTTGTTTTTTGTTGTCATAAATTGGTTTTTGTTATGTGTTACTCTGTCTGGGAACCAGCCGAATATAGACTAAAACCTCCACAAACTGTGGACTAAATAAACTTTTTCTTACCTCATTTTGAGTGTTGGGTATTTGTCCCAAT